CCCCGCGGCGGCGCCGTCGCTGGCGCGCGCGCCGTCGCCCGCGGCCGCGCTCGCCAGCGCCGCCGAGCGCGCGGCGGCGCAGGGCGGCGTCTCGGAGGAGCTCAAGGCGGCGAACCGCGCTCTGATCGAGCGCATCAAGCAGCAGCTCGACGCGGCGGGCTTCTCCTCTTTCAAGGAGCAGTCCTCGGCGTTCATGCGCGGCGACCTGACCGCGCGCCGCTACCACGATCTGGTCGTGGGGCTGGGCCTGCTGCCGCTTGTGGCGCAGCTGGCGGAGCTGTGCCCCGACGCGGCGCGCAGGGAGGGCCTGCTCGCCGCGCACAAGGCGTTCCTGCAGTCATCGCGCGCGGCCGACGCGGCGGCGCTTGGCGCGGGCTGGGTGCCGCCCGAGGCGGGGCTGGCGGCGGCGGCGCGCGCAGAGGCGCGGGTGCCGTGGGCGTGCGCTGCGTGCACGCTGGTCAACGCGCCGAGCAGCCACGCGTGCGAGGTGTGCGGCGCGCCGCGGGGGGCGGCGGCCGCGGCGGCGGCGGTACAGCAACGGCAGCGGCAAAACCAGCAATCGCCGCAGGCGCCGTCTGGGCGGATGACGGCTGCTGCGCTTGTAGCATCAAATCCGTGGAGCAGCGCAGCAGCTGCCGGCGGCGGCGGCGGCGGCGGCGGTGCCGGCAGCGGTGCCGGTAGCGGCAGCGGCAGTGGCAGCAGCAGCACGCGGCCCGTTACGCCTCCACAGGCGCCCGCGCCGCCGCGACCGGCGGACTTCCCGACTCTGGGCGGCGGCTCCTCGCGCGCCGGCGCCGGCGCTGGTGCGTCGAGTGGAGCAGGGCCGAGCGCGGCGGCTGTGCCCCTGGACGAAGACCTAGATGTGGAGCCCGACGAGGGCCCCAGCAGCGGCAAGGGCAAGAAGAAGAAACCGGTGAAGCAGTCGCTGCAGCAGCTGCTGGCCGCCGGCCGCTCCGCGCCCGGGAACGCCTGGAGCCAGCCGCAGCGCACAGCGCAGCTGGGGGTGGTGCCGGCGGTTGCCCAGCCCAAGGGCGCGTGGGGGGCCAAGTCTGGGGGAGGAGAGAAGCTTTCCAAGCAGCTTCGGGCGACCGGCCTGGGTGATAGCTGATGGTGATGCTGGCTTTGATGTGTAAGCTCAGCCCGCCAGATTGCCGGGCCCGTCGATGCGGGCGGGATTATCGGAGCATGAGGTCAGCTTGTATAGTCCCTACCATAGTTGGTGCTTGACCAGGGTGGTCTTACCAATGATTCCAACTGCAACGAGCGTGTACACGACGGGTTGAGCTGTGCTTTTGATCTCCACTTGAGCCCAGTGAGAGATGTCAACCTCACCGTGCATGATCTCTCAGATCTGAAACGTACGGCAGCCGTGTTGTTATGATAGGCACAGCTACAACTGAGTGATCAAATTTTATCTTGTACCAACGTCGTACACCGCTAGCAACACGCTGGTGGGCACGGCCGTACACACAGGCTGGACAGTCCCGCCGCGGCTTGAGCAGATAAGTTAATTTATCAAAGTCAGCTTGCAACCTAGCGCAGGTGTGAGCCAACAAGCCAAGCAGTGGCGCTGTAGCGCCGGCGGACACCCCGCCCGAACCAGCCACACGTGCCTGCAGCCCAGGGCGCCTGCTGCAGCCAGGGCGCCATGGCGGTTGGCGCAAGGAGCTCGCAGATGCGGGGCATCGCGCTCCTTGTCGTGCTGCTGTCGGTGGGCCTCATGGTGTACACAGTATGGCTCGTTGGGAAGCCGCTCTTCTGGCGCATCTACGCCGACATGACGCACAAGCCGTCGGCGGTGGCGCTGCGCTCCAATGCATTCACTGATGACGATGCAGGTGAGCCAGGCGAGCAACCTCGCAGCTCGCAAACAGCATGGCGTCCGCGCAGGCTGCCTCTGGTCTGGGCCGCAATGACAGCCGCTGGCGCCCGCTCCGTCAGGGTCCGTGCAGGCAGTCCAGATCGCAGGGCGTTGCGGCAAGGCCTGGGTTCTTGCGCGCCCCACCCTTGCAGGCGCCTTGGTAGAGGTCAAGCATTTAGGAGGGGACAAGGATGCAGACGATGAAGAGGACGGCTCCAAGAAGGACAGGAAGCGGAAGAAAAGGCAGAAGCACAAGCATGAGGAAGAGGAGCATGACGACGACAAAGCAGACAAGAAGGGCAAGAGAAAGGAGAAGGACAGGGAGAAGGACAAGGAGAAGGGCGAACAAGAGGAGGACAAGCGCGAGGAGAAGAAGGGCAAGGCCGAGGCGGACGAGGGCAGCAAGCCCTCAAAGGCTGACGACGTGCGGCGGCAGCAGCGGCGCAGCCACGCGCGGCGCATGACGCAACTGGTGCAGTGGTAGGCAGCACAGGCAGCAGTGCGGCAGCCGTCGCAGGCGGAGCAGCGTGCAGTGGGGCCGCCGTACGTGGCGGCGCGCGGCGGTGCTTGAGAAATGTGCGGTTGTTTTCCAAGGCGTTCTTGCCTATTCCTGTGGCGCCTGGTGAAGTCTGGCACAGCAAGGCCTGAATCAATAAGCCTTGCGGCCTCCTTGGTGATGTCAGCCTTCTCTGCAGGTGCAGCATTATGATCCCTTGAAATGTGCACACTGCAGTCCCCCAAATCCATCATGAGGCTGTTACTCTGCTCCTGTGGGTGTGTGTATGGTAGCTGCAACCAAAACTGATTGATACTGCCAGCACTGGGTGTGCAGCGGGGTGGTCAGGGGCTCATGGCATTGGGTCTAGGCAACACAGGCTGGTGCACTGTGGTTGATGGGTTGTCTCGTGCATGTTGGCGTCAGGGCATGCTTGCTGGTGCAGCTGTTTGAAATCATCAGCTGTATTCCAGAGGTTTGCACAAGGAGGGCATGCTGTTGTAAGCCATGTGCATCACCGCGCGGCAAAGGACCTGGACCGACAGACGTCAGCGACCGAGGTGTCAGCTCGAGCTGATCGGCGGGTGGGTAGCTGCCGCAGTGCAGGTGCCAGCTGATGCTGTTGCATGGCAGTGGCACGCTCGCACAATATCAGCTCCTGTGATCTTATTCACCATCGTAGTAGCCGTGGACCGCCCTCAGATGATCAACAGGCTGCGAGCACCGGCAAACGGACTTGACGAAAGGAGGTGGTTTGCAACAGTTGAATCCAGCTACTGATAGCCATATTACGTGACCTTTCAGTGATCGGGCGATGCAGGGGGTGAGCCTTCGGGGGGCGCGTCTTCTTGGTGCACCGACTGCCGTGGAGACTACTTGGAGACCGTGGCGCTATGTTTTTGCTTTGGATAAAAGGAGAACGTGATACTATCACACATTTTCACACGCCTCACGGCATGCGCACGGCCGGTTGCCGGCAACGTCAGGGGTCGCAGCGGCGCCGATGGCGCGTCGTCGCTGCGGCGGTTGCCGTGCTGCTTGCAGCCTGCTTATGCGCCGCGGCTTCAGCCGGCATGCCGCCACGACCTGCAGCGGGCGCCAGCGGCAGGTCGCTAGCAGCTGTCCCCGCGCAGGTTGTCGACGCCCCAGCCCTGGATAGAGGAGCGGCCTGGGGTCGCAGGGTGCTGGCAGGGTCGGACGAAGAGGATAGCGAGGAGACAGAGAAGCATGACACAGAGGAGCAAGAGCAGCGCGAGGCTGATGATGACCATCATGATGACGGCGATGACGACGACGACGATCACGACCAGGAGAAAGGCAAAGAGCACAAGGAGGAGAAGGAAGCGGAGGAGGGCGGCGGGGCCGGCAGGGGCGGCGAGGGCGGGGGCCCGCGCCTGCATGGTGGCAAGGAGCCCGAGGAGGTGCAGCTCATTGCAATGGCGCCAAAGGCCAACGTCACGTTTGGAGGCGACATCGACCCGGACGGTGCGCTGGGGGTTGGGGAGAGCGGGGAGGGCTGGTGTATCCCCTCGATCTTGGGACGAGCGCCGCGGCCGGCCAGGCGCACCTCGCACGTCGCAGCGGCCTGGACAGGCTCCCGCTGCGTACGCGCGGGCGGCGCGTTGCGTCACTGTCGGACCGCCCTGCAGGGCGCACAATAGCAGCAGCCTGTCTCAGCCGCCGCCCCCCCCCCCTTATACGCAGGCACCACCCCAAATAGCGCCCGACGCGGCCCCTCCCGCCCCTCCGCCCTCCGCGCCCCGCAGGCGCGTGCAGCGCGGAAATCAAACTCCACTGCCTGGGCGTCGACCCCGGCGAGGGCGCGCTCGCGGATTGCATTGGCGACACGATGCAGGGGATGGATGAGGAGGATGCGGGCGCCAAGGCAGCTGCTGAGGGCGGCGGCCAGGGGGAGGACGCGCAGGCGGACACCGGGGAGGCGCGCTCCAAGATCAGCGCCGCGTGCAGGGAGGAAGTGCTTGGGTTCAGGATCGAGCGCAATAGCAACATCAACAAGAACGTGCCCCTGGGTGCGTCGGTGGGCGCGCGCGGGCGGCGCGGGGCTCAGCGTGGGGGCCGCCTAGGTGTGGCGCGGCACGGACCGTGGCTGTTACCACGGGCGCAGCTGTGGCAGCAGCTGGGCCGGGCGCGGTGCGTGCAGACGCCGTCCAGCCTGCGGCTTGCTCGCCAGATGTCCCGGCTGACGCCAGGCCGCGGTTTCCCTCACACATGACTGTCCCACCAGCTGCAAGCTTTGCCTCCTTGCCTTCTCAAAGCGTAAGATTGACTTTTTGGCTTCCCGCCCGCGCCCTGCGGCGCTCGCAGCGCGCGCGTGTGCGGCAGACGCGGTCAAACACTGCAACGTCACCTGGTTCTTTGGCTACCGCAACGGCAGCGTCATCTCCTGCCTCAAGACGGCGAAGGCCAAGCTGACGCCGGACTGCCGCAAGCACGTGAGCTGTCTCGCGGCGGGGGCGGCGGGGGCATGCAGTGGTGGGCGCGCCCTGGAGCGGAGCCGGCGGCGCAGGGGGCGTCAAGGGAGGGGCCTCTTTGGTGCGACCCCCTGCAGACACTTGGAAACGCCCTGCCTCCATTTGCTGGCGCATGCACCTCCAGGACCTTGACTGGACCGTTCCTCCCACCCAGCAGCCTGCTGTGCGCCCGTGCCCGCCCCCTCCACCACGCCTCATGC